CCCCGCTGTCCCCCGCCCTCCCCGGGACTCCCCGACACTTCCCTGTCCGCGTGTGGGGTCCACCCGGGCCTCGCCCTGGGGCCACCCGCATCTCGTATCTAACGTGCCCTGGACAGCACAGAGGGGCTGGGGAACCCGCAGCCTTGGGTCCGAGTCGCTCCGGCTGCCCGACTGTATGACCTTGAGCCAGGCGCTCGTACCCTGGGCCTCAGTTTCCCCGTCTGTACAGTAGGAGACCGGGCTGTTGGCCCCCAGGCACTGCAGGTTGGGTGGGCAGAGAGGAGTGCCGTGGCAGTGCACTGTAGGACCCCATCCCCTCCCCCTCTCCCTGCACCAAAGCTGCACCTACCATCAATCATGGCTGGGAGGATGACTCCAGTCCAGGCTTCTCTTTAGCCCCCTCCTCTTCGCTGGGCCCAAGTGAAGGGCTTAAGAGACCCCCGAAGATCCCCCAACCCAGAGCAGGGTCTGGGGTCTCCTTCCCCAGCTTCCCTTCCCCAGTCTTCACATAGGCCCATCTACCTGGTCCTGACAGCCAACCTTCACCCCTGGGCCTTCCCACAGCCACCCTCCCGGCCCATGTGACGTCCTGGGGCACGGGCCCACCTCACTGTTGCCCTTACTTTAGGTCCCTGGGTACTCAGAGAGAGGCAGGCGGTGGCTCTGGTCCTGGCTGTGTGACAGGGCAAGCCTTGCCCACTCGGGTTCAGTCTCCCCATCTATGCGGTGGAGAAGGGCAGCCCGGGGGCATCTGACAGGGCCCACCAGCTCCAAGGGTGCCAGGCCCCAGGGATGACTAAGCAGCCTGGCAGTGGCTGGCTTCAGGAGGTATCGGAGTGCCTGGCCCTGGAGCCCCAGCCTGTTGGACCAGGGCATACCCAGGTGGACCAGGCACCTCTGCCCCCTCCCAGCCCGGGATGTACCATCCCAGCGCTGGCCAGTCCCTGTCCCTTGAAGCCCCTTTTCAGTACTTCCTAGGAGGAAAGGGGGCTGTGACAAGATTATTGCCTGCCACTTTGTTTCTGAATCCCCTGCTTTCTTTCTCCCCATTTACCTTGCCAGACCCAGAGTTGAATGGTATTGCTGGAGGGTGTACATCTGATCCTCCTTCTCAGCTTACAGCTAGGGATACTGAGGCCCAGAGAGGCTGGATAATTTAGCCAGTGTCTCAGCAAGACCCACAGCAACATCCTTTCTCTTGGCATAGTGACCGCTCTGCTGGGGTGCTGGCATGTGGGCACTCGGTCCATGTAGGGTGGGCAGGGCAGGCTGGGCCTGTACCAAACTACACCTCCTAAAAATGCTCCTGACTCCCTTCCACCCCTGCAGGAAGTGAGTTGCCCATATGTGCGCGATGCGGCCAGAGGATCTATGACGGCCAGTACCTCCAGGCCCAGAACGCTGATTGGCACGCAGACTGCTTCAGGTAGGGCCGGCTGGGGCTGCCAGAGGCCTGCTAGTCCTCCTGGTGCTGCCCTTCCTCATGACCACAGTTTCCCTTCTGTAAAATGAGGCATTCTGACGCCTTCCTGTTTGGTCCTCTTATGCCTCTGAGGTAGAGACCTGCGTTCCAGTCTTACGGTTGTCCCCTGCCAGTCACAAGGCATTGGCTGCAGGACTCCACAGATATAAGTCCTTTAGATAAAAGGAAATGGTGTACTGCTTGCATAGAACGTCTGCACATTCCATAATACATATCCATTGCTTTGAGACTGGTTCTTGGTCTGTCGCCCAGGCTGGCTTCCTACTCCTGGGCTCAAGCAATCCTCCTGCCTCAGCTTCCCGAGTAGCTGGGACTATAGGTGCGCACCACCAAACCTTGGCTTCTCCAGGATACTTTAATCACCTCTAGATTACTTACAGTATTTACTGCAATGTAGTACCTTGTATATAGTTGTACCGAATCTTTTAGGGAACAGTGACAAGAAGAAATCTGTACCTCATCAATACAGAGGCAGTTTTTCTTGCTCAATTTTTTGATCTGACACTGGCTGAATCCATGGGTGCAGAACCCAGGGGTACAGGCACTGACTATATTAGCAAAGCATGCTGGCACCATGCCCTGCCTCAGGGACTCCTGCCCCAGGGGTGGGAAGACAAACCGGCCCTTGAGGGCAGCTGAGCTCCTGTCCCCAGGGCCCAGCTAGTGTGTGCAGGCCTGGCCTCTGGACACAGACAGGGACACTGCGGGCAGGGCGGTGGCCAGGAACAAAGTAGCCCACACAGTGACTCAGAGGGGACTCAGTAGGACCATCCTGAGAAGCCCGGTGCAGGAGACCACTGGAGACTCATCCGTGAGGCCAGGGCAGGGTGTGGAAGGATGCGATTCCTGGCCAAGGTATGGTGGGAAGGTAATTCCAGGTGCAGGGCCTACTGCTTCAGTGAATTCAGAGTTCAGGGAAGCTGGGAGGCCCAAAAGGGCTTGGCATCCCCATCAGGAGTTTATTTTGCTGGTGATGGAGCTTTGATTTGTATTGTTTTGTATTTTAAGAGTAAGTCAGGGTGGGTGTGGTGGTGCACACCTGCGATCCCAGCACTCCGGAAGCTGAGGCAGGAGGATCGCTGTGAGTTCAAGGCCAGCCTGGGCTATATAACAAGTCCCTGTCTCAAACAAAACAAAACAAAAAAGAGTAAGTCAAGCTGGACCTGGAGCTGGGTGGTAGAGCACTTACCTAGCATGTCTGAGGTCTTGAGTTCCATCCTCAGCACCACCCAAAAAAGAATCAGTCTAACATCTAGCATTGAGTAGAGGCCAAGGCCCGCTCTTAGCGTTTGTACAGGTAGATACTGTGTTGCTTCTGTTGTGCCAGAAGGAAGTTGGGACACGGATGCCACTCCTCTTGCCTGAAGTCAGACCACCAGTGAAGTCAGGGGACTTAGCATCCACTCGGGCCGGTGGCCAGAAGCAGGCCAGGCGACATGCCCTGGGACGTGGAATCAGTGATCCAGAAGGAGGATCCCAGGGCAGGCTGGGCTGTTGAGAGCACAGGAACAGCGCATCTAGCAGGAATAGCAGGAGTCGAGGGATGCAGTGAGGAGCCAGAGCGGAGATGAGTCTGGGAAGGCACCGAATCCAAGGCAGAGACCTCCTGCTGGCCTTCAGGAGTGAGAAGACAGCCAGGTTGGGCCAAGAGCAGACGGGCTGATGACGGTTGCTGTCTCAGCAAGCAGATGGTGGCCCCTCGGCAGAGAAGGGACTTGAGATGGTGTGGGAGTCTGATCTCCAGAGGGACTGGGGGTGCAGATGACTTCAGACAGGGAGAGGACACTGTTCAGCATCCAGAATGCTCCAAAATGAACCTGGATCCCCAACATGGTGCCATTGTGTGGCCAGTCCACACCTGGCCTCGTGTGACCAGTCACAGCCAGACCCAGACACACCAAAAATGCTGCATGAAATCATCTTCATGTCTTAGGTGCATAGGAAAATCCTAAGTCAATTTCCTGGTCGGACTTGGGGCCCCTCTCCAAGAGATCTCACTGTGTGTACACAGGTATTCCACAGTTCAGCAAGTTTGAACATCTCTGGTCCGGGGCATTTCAGATCAGGGATGCTCAGCCTGTGTTTCCATCTTTGCCCCTGTCCTTAGCTCTCCCTTAATGTTAACTAGCTAAGCTCCTGCTGTACCCACGTGAGGTACCATGTTTGCTCAGTTTTCAGGTAACAGCTGGCGGGTTTGCAAAAGCAGAGGCCTGGCTGCAGGCTGTGCTTGGGGCAGAGCTGGATCCTGCTCAGTCTCATCACCGCAAGGCTGAGGCAGGAGGGGCTTTGTTTTGGGGGCCGGGCTGATGAGTGCAGGTCTGGCTTTCTAACCCATGCCCTGGGGAGAGGGTGGTGTGCTGACCCTGATGGAGTTGGGGCCGCCTTGCTGTCCCCTGCCTGGCCCTGACTGCACAGGTCTGAGTCCAGGTGGAAGCAGGATCCAGAAGAAGAGCTCCCTCAGAGCCCATGCTGCAACGCAGAGGGATTTGCCATGGGGCTGAGAGGAAGCAAGGGGAGAAGTTTGGAGGCTCCTGAGCCTGGGGTGGGGAGGGAAGAAGGAGCCTTTGGTGCCATCCCGAAGCTGATGGAGGGGAGCAGAGGTTGCAGGGCACCTGGCTTTGGAGCGGCCTGCGTTGCATCACTGGGGGAGGAGTGGGCCCAGCTGGGACCATCAGGGAAGCCAGGTTCAGGCTGTCCCTGGTGAGAAACTCTGCCACCGAGCTAAATCCCCGGCCTAGCAATGTGTCTTTTACTGTAATAAATGTTTTAAATTTAAACATTGACTGTACACAGCAAGGCAGGGCCCACAGGCAGGGACAGTTTCTGAGTGGTGGCTTCCACACATGTTCCTGGCCTGATGGTACGTGGCTCCTCAACAGCCCCCAAGGCTGGGTGACCTAACAGTGTCCTCACCCGTGACATTTAGGAAAGCAGCTCAGAGGCGGGTCACTGATTGCTGGGCACACATGGCTGACAGACAGCCAGACTGGCTCTCGGCAGGACGCCTGAGGCTCTGTATCCTGCTTGGTTCCCCTCTGGACACATCTCAGAGCCATGATTCTGCTGATGACATTGAAACCTTTGTTCCCTTTGTCCCTGACCCTCCTGAAGCTGCTCTGGCAGGAGGGATGTGACAAGCTGTGCGGGGCCTGCAGCCTCCAGCTGGCTCCTCTGTCCCTAGGGAGGGGAGGTGGCCCTGTGATCGCTGGCCCTTCCCCTGGTAATTAGGGACCTCCCTAGGGCAATCTGTGAAGTGGGTCCTGTTTCTTGAAACGCCCTGACAGCCAAGGAAGCAGGTACAGAGGTGAGCTGTCACCATCCGCTCAGTGTTCCTGCGAGCCTGGCTGCAAAGTCCACAGCTCTGTCCTGTCACCTTCAAGACTCGGGGTCCCTGCCTTCTAGTGGGGGAGCCAAGCAGAGACAGACAGACCAGGTGCTGCGGAGACAGTGCTCCGAGGAGGTTTCGTTCGGAATCTAAGGGCAAAAGGGAAGAATGCGTCCAAAGGCCCCAAGGTGGCCCATCCTGAATCTGCAAAGCCCCCAGCAGGTTGGAGGGGACTCAGCTGACCGTGGGGTGTTTGCTGGGGAAACCCGGGGAAGGAGCCCATGGCTGCACGTCCTCTTTGAGTACTGTGGCCTGAGCCCTCGGCAGAGTGCTACTGCAGTCCCTGGCCCCTGTCCTTGAGGAAGTCCCAGGCTGTAACTGGTGCCTGGGGACTGTTGGGATGCAGCCAGGAGGCAGGGGATGTCTGGACAACAGTGCTGCACCCCTCTGTGGACGTGATGGGGTTGCTGTGGACCCTCTGCTGTCTCAGACACTCGTGCTGAGGTTCGGTTGTCACCCCAGGCCCACCCCTTTGTCCTGGGGCCCCGCCTCCCAGCAGATGATGGCCAGCCCTGTGGTCCAGGCTTCCCTTGGCCCAGCTGCTGCCTCTGAGTGTGAGGCCCTTCCCAGTAATCTCCCCAGAGGCCCAGCAGGTGGGAGGGCGAGGCTGCCTGGCAGTTGAGCCCAGGCTGGGTACAGCTCACCTCTTCAGGGGACCTTTCATGCGAAGAGGACAGACTATCCATGGGAAGTCGACCTCTGCACCCTTGGGGTCAGCCCCGGAAGAGGCAGCTGTGTTGAGTTTGTCTCTGTCCCCAGAGAGGCCCAAGCTCTCTCTGCCCTTGTCCAGGCAGAGGCTGAGGCACACACAGGGCACCTTTCTCCTGATGAGCAGAATTGAGGGTCAAGTGGTGGGGTCAGAGCTTAGATCGCCCCTTTCCCACCTCCCTGACAAGTGTCAAAGCCTAGATACCCTCCCCCTGCCTGTAGTCAGCAATTACATCTCTCCTCCTCTATCTCCCTGCCTGGGGTCAGAGCCTAGATCCCTCCTCCTCCATCTCCCTGCCTGGAGTCAGAGTCAGTGTCCTTCCCTGTCCACCTACATAAAAGCCCAGGCAGAAGGCGCTTAGTTGCTTCCTGTTGCAGGCTCAGACCAAGGCCCTTCACACCCACACCGCTGTACCCTCTGTTCCGTGTGGCTTCCTTTCCTCACTGGCCCCACCCCCTGCAGCCGCCAATCCTGAGCCTACTGGTGGGATGGGGAAGCTCTGGTCAGGCCACCCCTGTGCCCCCACAGCCTCCAAATACTTCTTGCCATTGCTGCAAAGGATGCTGCTGGCTGCACCCCTGAGAAGAAACCGCTTCCTCCGAGGGGCTAAGTAAGTGCAAAGCCCCCTCCCTGCGTGGCTAGCCACTGGTGGGGGCACTGGGGCTGGAGGGATCTTTGGAGCAGACCTACCTGGGGCAGAACTGAAACTTCCAGGTCCCTGTCAGCTGGCTGTCAGGGTGCAGGCCACTAAACAGCTCTGGCCTCTCTGCGGCGGTCTCCGCACAAGCAGCTGGCCCTCCAGCTCCTTTTTCTTCTTTGGGAAGGGGCACCCGGGGAGGAATGGACCTCCCAACTGTCATCACCTCTGCTGCAGAGCATTCTCTTGCCCCAGCCAGGCTTTGTCCACCCCACCGTCTGGAGGGTTCCCAAAGCCGGCTAGGGTATGAGTTCCGCTCCCCCTGGCCCTGAGCCAGCTCAGTCCCCTGTGTGCCTTCTGTACAGCGTTTGTGGGGGACCTCCCTGGCTCCTGCCTTCTCCAGCTCCTGGCTAGACAGATGGGGTCAGGACAAGATAGGGTTGGGGCCCCTGTGTATCTTCTACCTGCTAAGGGGTGCTGAGCCCCCAGTGCCAGCCACCGGGCCACTTCGGTGCAGACGGAGGCAGAGAAGGGTGCAGGGTGTGGGGGGGCAGACGAAGGCCGCAGTGCCCGGAAATGCCGGCCCCTAGGGGCTTCAAGGAAGCTGTGTCCGGGCAGGGGAGCTGCGTGACAAGCCAGGTCCCTGAGGCTGCGGCTGGGAACCGGCCGAGGTGACTGATGAGTGGAGAGGGCGGGGAGCATTCTCTCCCCGAGGGAGTGGGGGGACTGCAGCTGCTCCAAGGCCCGCCCTGCCAAACCCCGCAGACCCCAGAGGAGAGGCAGGCGGCCGTGACCTGAAGCAGGGCAGGATGCCCCTGTGACCAGTAAAGAAGTCGTATATGGTCGGTGGACCATCAGATCAGTCACTGTTGACCACGGGGCAGGAGCAAGGTCGTCTCTGCGAAGGTAGCGGGGTCCAAACTCAAATTTTCTGGTCTGGTTAGAGCCTGGGGAGGCTCACTGGGGACCGCCCCTCGGAGGCTCCTCCCATCGCCCCAGGAGGCGGGGGCGGCGCCTGCCCGGTGCAGTTCCCGGGAGTATGGGGCTTTGGCCATGACGTCACATCACGGCCTTTCCCCACTGCCAGCGGCGGCTGCAGCCTCCTCCTAACCCTAGGTCCCCTAGGGTGAGCTCACGGGCCCACCCCCACCCACGTGCTTCTGAACCCTGACATTTTGTGCCTCCCCTGTCCAGCCCCTCCCAGCAGACTCCCACACAAAGGGGAAGCAGTGGGATCCTCTTAAAGGGACAGGACCACCCCCCCAGCTGTTTGGCTGGGCCCCCACCCCCACTGGGCCCAGTACATTAGCCACATTCAGAACACGGAGGAGAGCAGGGCCCTGCTGCCTCCTCTCCCTGAAACTCGGTCCCCACCCCTCTGAGCTGGGGAAGAAGCCAGGCTGGAGGGTCTGGCTCCTGGTTTCTCCCAGCTGCCCTTCAGTCCCTGCTGTCTGCCCAGCTGTGCTGCGCCTGCTCCTGGTGGGGCTGTCTGTCCTCCATCCCACAGGGCTGCGTTTTTGAGGCAAGGCGGGGAAGACCCTCGCTTGGGGCGGTGCTGGCCTGTCCCCTGAGCACCCCTCTCTGGCCAGCATCATCTGTAGGGCTCCAGGGCACCAGGAGATCCTCAGGCCCTGGCTGGTCCTGCCTCTAGGTTGCCAGTCTGTGCTGAGCAATCCCTGCCTTGTATCCTAGAGAAATGGAATCCCCTCCTTTGCCTGTGAGATAAGCAAGTTAAGCCTCCAGCACCCGCATCTCACACAGCTGTGGGTGTACCGTGGGGCAGGGGGAGGTGGAGGACACTCACTGCCCCTTGGAGTGGCCCCTCCCAGGTCCCATTCCTCCTCCACCTGCCTGGCGACCAAGAGCAGGTAACCTGCCCCCCGGACTCTTCTGGCATAACAAGGAACAGGGCCCTGATGAGAAGCAGCCCTTACCCTTCAGAGCAAGCCCTCTGTATGTACAGCTGCTGTGAGAGGTTATATAGGCTGTGCACTGCACAAGGTGTATTCCTGGGGCATCAAAGTGGGACTGAATCCATCCTGGCCCCGCTTGCCCCGGCCTGTACCCCAGCACACCCTGCTTCTGCTGGAGCAGAATTCTAATTTTAACGCTCAGGAAAGCAAGGCGGAGGCGGGTGGGGTGTGTCCTCAGCTGCCCTCTCTCCCAAAGGTGCTGTGAGTGTGGTGCTTCCCTGTCACATCAGTACTACGAGAAAGATGGGCAGCTCTTCTGCAAGAAGGACTACTGGGCCCACTGCGGCGAGTCCTGCCACGGCTGCATGGAGCACATCACCAAGGGCCTGGTCATGGTAAGCACCCTGACTTCAGCACCACACCTGGCTGTGTGTGTACCTAAGCATGTGTGTGAGTGTGTGTGCGTGTGCGCATTCTCCCTCTCCTGTGACCCTGGACTGCACAGTCCCTGCAGCCCCTGTCTGTGCAGCCAGCTGTGCCCAGGAGCTCTGCAGCTGGCCCCACCAGTCCCTGAGCCATCTTGTCCCCAACCTTTCCGCCAGGTGGCCGGGGAGCTGAAGTACCACCCCGAGTGCTTCATCTGCCTCATGTGTGGGACCTTCATTGGGGACGGGGACACCTATACCCTGGTGGAGCACTCCAAGCTGTACTGGTAAGTGCCAGGGTACCTAGCCCAGCCCAGCCTACCGGGCCCTGCATTTCCCTGGGTGCAGTCAGAGGGCCAGATGGATGGCACCCACCTGTACCCCTTCCTTCTGTGGTGTCATGAGCCCCAGGCGCAGGTCAGATAACACCCCAGATGCTGGCTCCCTCATGCACTGCTGCAGTGCAGCCCTGGCACCAGCCCCCTGGAGCTGGCACAGACCCCACAAGCTGAGGACGTGGTCCCCAAGAGGCTGCCATCAGCTCAGATGCCAGCTGCGTACCAACCGTCCCAAGGCCACCCGAATGTCTGACCAGCTGGGACCTCACGACCCTGTCAGGTTGGATCATTTGCTACATGACTCACAGAACTCCAGGAAGCCTCATGCCCAGGATCAGTTTCATTATAAAGGGCACCACTCAAGACTGCCAGATGGAGACACCCCTCACCCCGAACCTCACTGCGGCACCAGCCAGGGCACCTCCCTCCGCCGGGTCTGCGTCCAGGGCTTCACTGGGCTCTCCCTGTGCAATTGCAGTTGATGATAAAGCTCCATTTCCTGCCCCCACCTTGGAAGCTGGGCCAGCCCAGGCCCCAGCCTTCATCACCACTGGTCCTCGCCATGACCAGCACCCCTGAGTCATCTCGTTAGCACGACTTATGCAGGCTGAGGGGCTCGTAAATAACCCAGATGTTCCTGTTCCAAGGACTTAGAGTCCCCCAGGAACCGTGGACAAAGAACAGATGAAATCTCCCTTGTACAATAGCAGTAAACCTGGATTAGAGGACAACACCACTGATCCCAGACAGGCTTTCAGTGACTTCCTCTCGAGCTGTGTGTGTCTGTAGGCCTCGGGCCGTGTGTACATCACAGGGAATGGGCAGCCCAGAGTGAGCCCCACGGAGCAGGGGCGCTGGGCACGCTCACTCCCAGTGCCAGCTCGGGATGGGGGCTGCAGGGGTGGCAGTGCCAACAACACACCTCACACTCTTCTCGCCGTGTTGCAGCGGCCATTGCTACTACCAGACCGTGGTGACCCCCGTCATCGAGCAGATCCTGCCCGACTCTCCTGGCTCCCACCTGCCCCACACGGTCACCCTAGTGTCCATCCCGGCCTCTGCTCATGGCAAACGCGGCCTCTCAGTCTCCATCGACCCCCCGCACGGCCCACCGGGCTGCGGCACGGAGCACTCGCACACTGTCCGTGTCCAGGGGTGAGTGACCAGCATCAGCGTGGCGGGTGGCAGACTGGGGACTCCAGGGGAGGGAGTGTGTTTGGCCACGTGGGGACCCAGCTCCACCACATGGTCTAGCGGGTACTTACGTAGTCAGTCCTCTGAAAACCACTGTGTTGTGCCAGATGTGTTGGAACAAGGTGTCTCACACTCACAACTTAAAGGAGGGGAGAGGCATTTTTGGGTCAGGGTTTCAGTCCACGGTCAGCTAACTCCAAGGCAGAAATACCACAGAAGTATCAAAGGAAAGATGCCAGCTCATGGCAGCCAGGAAGCAGGGAGCTGGGGAAGAGCCAGAGAGGAAGCAGCAGGTTTCAGATACTGTCCCCGAGGTCACAACCCCTTGACATACCCAGTGGCAACCACAGATGTTCGTTACTAATCTCGGAGGCATATCTCACACCGATTAAGTTAGCAGTCGAGATTAACCATCACACCCAATAAAATGGAAAAACAATTCCGAAGCCCATGCATGATCCAGCAGAAAGGAGGGGTGACCAGGTCAGCAGGGACTGAGGGACGTGGCCCAGGGCTGCCTGCAGAACAGGCTGCCTCAGCAGCAAAGCTGGACTGGGCAAACTGAGGCTTCAGTTTTCAAGGGACCAAGGAAGCCGGTCTAGTAAGAGACTTTCCTCCCCCATAACGCTAGGATCCCGGAAAGGCTCTGGGTGTGACAGGAATAAATCACATCTATCATAAATGCTCCTCCATTCCTAAACCACAAAGTAAACTGTCCAATCTGAGCACGGGCGGAAGAGGAGGGTCATCACACACAAACTAGAAGAGTGTGTTAAGGCTCACAAGCAAGATGTGCTCCAAGCAGGCGGGCCCTAAAAACAGTATAGAAAAGGTCCAAGATGGAAGATGAAATAGAGGAGGCCCGGGGATTTAGCTCAGTGGCGCTGTACCTGCCTTGCAAGCACGAAGTCCTGAAAAAAATAGCAGAAGAAATAGAGGAGAGAGCTGACCCAGATACTAACACACTCTATAGCTTCCACTTAGTCTGTTTTGTGGCTATAACAAAATACCTGGGACAGGGACCTTTATTAAGAAAAGGGGTTATTTATCTCACAGTTCTGGTGGTTGGAAAATCCAAACAGCATGGCACCCTCACGGGCGAGGGCCTCTGTGACAGCATGACCCCACAGCAGGAAAGCAGAAAGGGAAACAGCCACATGCAGAACAGGCCCAGCACACAGGGTCCCCTTGCTGTATAACGATCCACTCTGGTGAGAACTAACCCAGTCCTTTGAGAACTGCATTAATCCCTTCCGAGGTTGGTGCCCCTGGGCTCCGCCTCTTAGAGATCCACTCTCTCTCAGTATTGTGACTTGGAGGCCCAAGCTTCTGGTGGGAAACGTAGGGGGACACACTCAAAGCACAGCCACGCCATAGCAGGCTCCATCTGCACAGTGAGGGAGTTGGTCACCATGGGGCCTTCCACTGGCACCTGGAGAAGAGGTTTGAAATGTGTCCACCTCTGGGCATGGGGACCAGGTGCCATCCTCCATTTGGTTCAGCGTCACTCAGCTTCCCAGCACCAGGTACTACCCCTGGGCAAGGACTGACTTCGTCCCTCCCTCTCCTCGAACATCTGCTGGGCAGCTGCCTCAGTAGAGGTCTGAGCAGAGGACGGGTCTTAGTATGGCTCTTACTGGAGCCCACCCAGCCCAGACAAAGGCCCCAGCTAATCTCCGAAGAAATGAATAGAGTTGCCAGGCATGATAGCCTATAATCCCAGCACTCTGGGAGGCTGAGGCAGGAAGACTGTAAGCTGAAGCCCATCCTGGACTACTTAGTGACTTAGCAAAATTCTATCTCCAAATTAAATTTTTAAAAGGGCTGGGGATGTAGCTCAGTGCAAAGGTCCTGGGTCCAATTAAAAAAAGGAAAAGAAATGAAGAGAGTTGGTGATGTCAGTGCCGCCCCCTCCCTGTGTGCCTTAATGGTGAGAATGCCTTCCCAACCAACAGCTGGTTTCCCAGCCTGGCTACAAAGAGCCCTGCCCTTCTCAGGAACTGCTCTGCTGGCTGGAAGCCTGTGACCCGCCTGGCCTGACTGAGGTGACTGTAGCACAGTAGCTTTAGCTGACTGCTTTTCACTCTGCTCATAGCCACATTTTTAAGGCAGGTTTTATATATTTGGGCCCCAGGCCCCTGTTGCCAAAGCAGAAGACTGAGGGAGCAGACGTGAAGAGTCTAAGGAAGTTGAACCCCAGCTCTCCACACTGAGCCACATCCCCAGCTCTTTCTATTTTGTATTTTGAGATAGGGTCTCACTAAGTTGCGCAGGCTGGGCTCAAATTTGCAATCCTCCTGCTTCAGCCTGCCTCAACCTCTCAGAGTCCTGGGATTACAGATGTACACCACCATACCCATCGAGACCTAGGCTTCTTGAAGCACATGCCTCAGTCCTTAAGTAGAATGGCCCTCAGCTTGAGTTTGCCTGGTGTTTCCATCTCATTAGATTTGGTTTCTGAATTTCCAACTTGGTCCTTCCTGTGTGATGCCCGCCGTCCTTCTGGACTCATCCCCCGGACACGTGATATCACTGTGCCCTGCACGGAGGGTGTTACCTAACTGCTTGGCTTATTTTCTGTACTTTCTTGGTTCATTTTCCCCATGCAGTCAGTAAGCCATTTGTGAGATTAATGTCTTGGTTCCCACCATTTCTCACCACGCGGTTTCAGTGTCTATTCCTGAGTCTTCCTTGTGGCGATTCTGACTATGTCAACCGCAAAATGATGATTTCCTAGCTGTGATCATCTGCATTTATTAGTGTGCTTTCTGCTGTACAGAAGGGCTTCTTCCCCTGTGAGAATATACTTTTTTTTTGGCAGTAGCAGAAATTGAACTCAGGTAGCACTAAGCTACAGTCTCAGGCTGGTCTTAAACTCGAAGCAATCCTTCTGCCCCAGCCTCCTAAATATTGGGATTATATGCCTGTGCCACCATACCCCACTTGTGAATCTCTTTTCTTTTTTCTTTTTTCTTTTTTTTTTTTGAGACAGGGTCTTGCTGTGTAGTTCAGGATGCCCTTGAACTCACTATGTAGTCCAAGCTAACCTTGAATTTATGCAATCCTCCTGTCTCAGCGTCCTGAGTGCTGGGATTACAGACATGTGCCACTGCGCCCAGCTCAAAGCTCTTTTCTTAAAGCTATTGCTCTCCTCTCTGCTTTACACCTACCCTTCCCCAGCCCAAGGAGCTATAACAGAGACAGCACATTCCTTAAATAGCTTTTATGAAACAAAATGAAAGCAGGAAACCAGGTAAAGCACATCAAAGAATGAAAAGCCTCAAGAAATTGAGCAGATTGGCCAATCCTCATTCATGAGATCGTGGATGACAAATCACGGTTGTCCTCCCTGCTTCTCCCTGCTCCATCTCCAGGGCACTGCCAGCTCCAAAGGCCAAATCGGGAGGACCAGGAGCTTCGGCTCCATCTTTCCGTGGAGTTGAGGGTAGGCTGGTGGATCTGGACCCTTCAGGACCCCTGTTAGGACACTTTTCTGCTCAAGCATCCCAGGCAGTCAGAGGACACTTCTGTCCCCCAGTGCAGGAGGCACTGCAGTGGGACCAAGTAAGCATCTGTGTGGGGCAGCAGATACCTGCAGTGCCCCTGTCTCCACAGCCATACCTGTGGCAGACATCAGTAGTCGATTACAGAATTTGCACTTCCTAAGTACACAGGATGGAATGGTCCCCACCCCCACCCCTGATCTGGTGCTTTGGTTTCTTGTTGGAGGCTGGGCGGGTGGGAACCAGTCTGACCACTGCTCCACCCCCAGAGTGGACCCGGGCTGCATGAGCCCCGATGTGAAGAATTCCATCCATGTGGGAGACCGGATCCTGGAAATCAATGGCACCCCTATCCGGAATGTGCCGCTGGATGAGGTAGGAAGAGGCCCAAGAACAGCGCAGGATGTGGGTGGCAGAAGTGGTATCCTACTCTGAGTCCCCTTCCACTGCCCTCACAGCCACCTCACCTGTGCACCTGTGTCCCCAGATCGACCTGCTGATCCAGGAAACCAGCCGCCTGCTGCAGCTGACAATCGAGCACAACCCCCACGACTCGCTGGGCCAGGGGCCTCTACCTACACACAGTCCCCTGGGCTCTCCAGCCTGCACGCCCACCGGAGAGGCCAGCAGCTCGCGGCAGAGGCCTGTCTTGTGAGTCCCCTTCTGAGCATGTCGGTCCTGTGCCGGGTGCCTGGTCCCCAATCTCCACTGGCTTGTGAGGGTGGAAGAAGCAGGGAGGGGGCTCCTTGGCATTTGGTGTGAAACAGGGACTCTGAAGAGGAAGGACAAGGAGGAGGACATGGGCAGGGGTTCCCAGAGTGGGCCAGGATCTAGGCTTCAGGGAGCAGCCAGCTAAAATGAGCTCAAATGAGGACATCGGGTGGGGTGGGCAAGGGACTCAGGCAGAGACTAATCGCAAGTGTCACGTGGCAGGGGTCTTTGGACTTCGCCTTGGCTGGGGCAGGGCCCCCTGAAGGGACACTGCAGCATCATGATGTGTTTCATAAAGGCCACACCTGTGCACCATGCAGCAGGGGCTTGGGGTAGGGACGCTGAAGACCAGAGGTGGCCCCTGGGCTGTTGCAGTGGTCCAGGCAGCAGGTGCCATGGGAGGTGCAGGAAGAAGCCCAGAGGCAGCCTGGTCCTCACCCCACATCCTGTGGGCCCTGCTCAGGACTCCGTGGGGTCACCTTCTGGGGTGTCAGCAGTGCTTTGAGATTGTGTGGTCAAAGGCATGTGCTCCCCCTCAACCTGCCCATCTGTGGGGTCACCAGCACCCCAGGCAGGTGTGCTCCATCCCCCAGAGCCCGGGACACAAAGCATCTGACCCGGGTCACCAGAGAGAGGAGGCCAAGGACAAACGCCCCCGCCAAGGACACATACACAGCAGGGACTCAAACAGGAGTGGGAGATCTGGGGCCAAGAGGACTGAGCCATGCCATCCGCAGGGGCTGCCCCGAGGCTGGTCCAGATGGGGCACGATAGGCCAGGGGGTTGGCCACAGGGCCCTGGCCAGGTGCCCCATGGCACTGGGCACTGTGTCCCTCCCCAGGAGGAGCTGCAGCATCGACACGTCCCCAGGGGCCAGTTCACTGGCTTCACCGGCCTCCCAGCACAAGGACCTGGGCCGCTCTGAGTCCCTACGTGTGGTCTGCCGGCCGCACCGCATCTTCAGACCCTCAGACCTCATCCATGGCGAGGTGCTGGGCAAGGGCTGCTTTGGCCAGGCCATCAAGGTACAGGGTCTGGGATAGGGCAGCCTGGGGAGGCTCTGGAGCTGGAGGCAGGGAGGGGCCCACGGCCATAGACCCCGAACTTCTCATCGAGGCTCAGCAGGGTGGGGATGGAGGACAGGAGCCCAGACCAACCCCAGATCCCTCCCTGGGGCCCTGTGCTGGGCCTGGTGCCACCCCCACTACAGCCTCTTACCCTTCACATTCCCCGAGCAGGACATGAGACCTGGCCCGTCCCTGTCCGCTTGCCCCTCGAGGAGTTCCCGGGTGAGCTGCCATTCAGTGTCCAGGTGACAGTTCAGCAGAGCACAGACCTCACGCGGGCCAGATCTGCCCCACTCCCCAGTCAGCTGGCTGCTCGGTCCCATTAGGACACCTCAGAGCCTCAGTGTCCCCATCAGCAACCCCTGGGCTGTCTGCAGAGTGCAAAGCCAGCTCTGCCTCCCTGGCAGTCCCGGAGCAGCTGACGGCAGGGCCTCCATCCGTCCTGAGTCCCCGTGCCTTGGTGTCGCCCATGCAGGTGACACACCGGGAGACAGGTGAGGTGATGGTGATGAAGGAGCTGATCCGGTTCGACGAGGAGACACAGAGGACATTCCTCAAGGAGGTCACTGGGGGACTGTGGTGTCCCTTGGGTCCCCAGCCCTTCCCTGTGCAGAGGGGGTGGCCAGGGGCCCTGAAAGTGTGTGACACTCGAGCCAGCATGGAGGGAAGGAAGAATCCACCTGGGTAGGCGCTGCTGGGCCAGAGGGCCTCCGGCCTCGGGTGGAGGAAGCAAGGGGTTCGGGTCCAGCCTGTCTGTGCCCGACAGGTAAAGGTCATGCGGTGCCTGGAGCACCCCAACGTGCTCAAGTTCATCGGCGTGCTCTACAAGGACAAGCGGCTCAACTTCATCACGGAGTACATCAAGGGCGGCACACTGCGTAGCATCATCAAGGCCATGGTGAGAGCAGGGCAAGGCCATGGTCCCACAGCTGGGTCTGGCTGTTCGGCACGAGCCGCCAGGGGGCTCGGGCCCTGCTGCAGCAAAGCCCTGAGAGAGGCCCCTCCACTCCCCATCCATGGTGGACGAGGTCATTTTTACTCTAGGATAGGGTCTTCACAATGGAGCACTTCCTTAAGGATGTGGGTACAATTACAAGTCTGTCTTTAGAAATAAAGTGCTGGGAGGAAGCTGTCAGGCACCGTGTGCTGGATGCAGCCCTGCAGTCCAGTCCTGTGTTTAGCCCCATTTCAGCTTCACCCTGAGACCACGAGATCGCATCCCCTGCATCCTGCTCGAGCCTCTGACCTTCCATTCCTCGGGCTGATTTGCTGATATTCCTCATAGTGTGGCCCTGCCCACCCAGTGGGTGTGACTGCTGGTCCACACCACACTTTAATGCATTCTGGTACCTGAAGTGTCCCCAAATGATTTGACCCTCACGTTACCAGCTTTCCAGAACCATAACAAAATACGGTACCGGAGATAATCAACTTATAAACAGAAATGGTTAGCCAGGCATGGGGCCATTCCTGTAATCTCAGCTACTTGGGAGGCTGAGGCAGGAGGATCACAAGTTTGAGGCCAGCCTGGGCAACTTGGTGACTTAGTGAGGCCCTGTCTCAAAAAAATAAAAAAGAGGCTGTGGATATAGCTCATTGCAAAGGCTCTGGGTTCATTGGCCAGTAAAATAAACCCTCAGATACCGAGGGACAACTCTATAGGTTTTCCTGTTCAGAGGAAGCACACTGGGAACTAGAAGGGCAGAGCCTCATCTGAAATCAGGTGTTAGAAAGCGATGTGTCTGAGTCGGTCATCCACACCCCTGAGAAGCAGACAGCTGTGGGTGCAGAGGGGCATCGGCATCAGACCTCTAGGGCCCCTGCCCCCTGTGGCTATGCAGCTGTCCCTGTCATCCTGTGTGGCCCCCATGGCTCATCCTGCCCCCCCCCAGGACAGCCAGTACCCGTGGAGCCAGAGGGTGAGCTTTGCCAAGGACATCGCATCGGGGATGGTGAGCAGCCCCTGCCACTAAGCTACAGTACCCCAAGGACTCAGGAAAGAGCCCGATGGGGAACCTTTGACCAGGGATGGGGGATGCATGGAGAGTGGAAAGAACCACCCCACCCAGCCCTGCCCAGACTGGGGCAGGGGTGAGCTGGGGCCTGGGGATGGGCGGGCGGCCCTCAGCACAGCTGCTCACGATGCCTGTTACCCCCGTGTCCCCCAGGCCTACCTCCACTCCATGAACATCATCCACCGAGACCTCAACTCCCACAACTGCCTGGTCCGCGAGGTGAGCTGCACTCCAATTTGGGGGAGGTGCCAAAGAGCCGGGAGCTCAGGAGGCCCCAAAACCATAGGACCCGCCTGTCCTGGGCTGGGGGGTAGCTCGGTGCACGCACACACACACACACACGCACGCACACACACACAAGTCTGTCTGTGCACACCCAGAGCTGCTGCCGTGGCAGGACCCTTAAGACTCCAGGGGCTGCCCTCCCTGGGTTCCCTGGAGCTATATTTCCCATAGTGGGGGCTGCAGCCCCTGTCTCAGAAGACCCTGTGAGGGTTGTGTAAGTGCAGATCCTTGACCCCAGGGTCCTCTGAAGAGAACAGAGCAGGGATCCACACTGGACAGTCACCGTGGCCCTGGCCTTTGAGAAGCACCTCCTAGGGCAACAGGCAGGTTCAGGGATCCCGGGTCAAAAGTGCCTGCCCCACCTGTCTGCCACCTGCTGTTACACCTGAGGCAGCAAAGCCCCGAGAGCAGCAGCAGTCACCCAGTCCCCGAAGAGGTAGGCAGGACTGGTGTTCAGCTCCTCCCCACCTGCTGTCCTCAGAGTTTTCTGATTTTGGAGGGGAAGAGAGGTTGCTGGGTTTGGATCATTAACCTCACTGAGCTGTTGGGAACATTTAAGATACAGTCTGGCAGACATAGGGGTGCACACCTGTAATCCCAGCACTCTAGGAGGCTGAGGCAGGAGAATCACAAGTTCAAGCCCAGCCTGGGCAACATAGTGAGTTATTGAGAGATTTATAAGAAGGTGGGGATGTTGCTCAGTGTGAAAGCCCTGGATTCAGACCCCAGTACTGCGCGCACGCACAAACACACAGACACACACACACACACACACACACACACACACACACACACACACACCCAATGCAGCTTGTGACGTGCCACACCTAGGGCCTGGGTCCCTGGTCAGAATTCTTGTTTTGTTTTCCAAACAGTGTAGTACCTGTGCCCTAATGGTGCCTAGGGAAAGAGCTGGGATGCTGGGATGGTTTGGGGGAGCACTGGTGAGGCAAAGGACATATTTTTCAGGGGTAGAGCCCCACTAGCCTTTCAGGAGCTCCAGGCAGTGCTGTGTGCAGACAGCAGGGGTTTGGGGACTGTGGGACTGCAGTGTCACAAGTGTGTTCTCTGGGCGCTCTGTGGGTGGATGCAGGACCCAGCGAGGGGCAGCTGGGCCGGGTCCCCATCTCAGTGTGACCCTGCTTCACCTCCCAGAACAAGAACGTGGTGGTGGCCGACTTCGGGCTGGCCCGACTCATGGTGGATGAAAAGACGAAGCCCGAGGACCTGCGGAGCCGCAAGAAGCGGTACACAGTGGTGGGGAATCCCTACTGGATGGCACCTGAGATGATCAACGGTGCGTGGGCCAGGAGGGGCCCAGGACCTGGGGTTGGGACCGAGCCACAGCCACCAGCGCCTTGGCCTCCCTGGCCTCCCTGGCCCTGCAGCTTCCTTCTTGGGTCCTGCGTTCATTTCCCATCGCGGCTGTAGGGCATTTCCATGCACTTGGTGCCTTCAGTAACCAGTTATCAGACTGTGCTGGAGGTCACAGGCCCAGCCGCAGTCTTACTGGGCTAAACTCAGTGTCCCCATGCCTGGGCCTTCCACCTGCTCTGCAGCAGGATCCGCTACCTGGCCCCTTCCAACTTCCAGGTCACCTTGTTCCTGGGCTCCAGCCCTGCCTCCCTCTCCAAGGTCAGCAGCTCAGCCTCTTCCTGTCTTCTCCTCTGGCATTGAGCCCCACCTCCCTCTGAATATGTCCCTTGGCTGACATTGGGCCACCTGGATAATCCAGCATCTTGTCCTTCTCAGGCCCCAATCCTGGGGCTGGGCTGGAGCTCAGGGTTAGCGTTTGCCTGGCATGCACAGGGCCCAAGTTCCATCACCAGTGCACGTGCACACACACGTGCCACACACATACCCTTAGCTCACCTGTAAAGTCTCATGTAACATACCACATCCACAGGTCCCAGAATTAGGACATGGACATCGCTGGGGGCCACAAGTCCTCTTTCTCCTCCATTTCTCTGCCATTGGTGGTCTGTCCAGTATATACCCTGACCAGGTATATAAGGTCCCTCCGCAAGCAGGAGATGCATGGCCATAGATTCCAGGCAGACCAGTGGACATAGTTAATGTCGCCCCCTGATAACACACCCTGTGAAATAGCCTGAACAGCCCTTGTCATTGAGGGTGGTATGAGGATTAATAAGATTGGCATTCAAAAAACAAGAGTAGCCAGACATGGTGGCACATGCCTGTAACCCCAGCACTCAAGAGGCTGAGGCAGGAGATTGTGAGTTCCAGGCCAGCCTGGGTTATAAAGTGAGTTCAAGACAAATCTGGACTACATAGACCCTGTCTCAAAATTAAATAAATAAATAAGGGGTAAGAATATAGCTCAGTGCAAAGCTCCTGGGTTCAAGCCCCAGTACCTGAAGAAAAAAAGCACCTAATGATTTTAATGTCACTGGGGAGATGATAACCCTGTTTTACAGGAGACTCTGGACCAGTGTTTTGAGGCAGCTCTAACAAATTGTTACAAACTCGGTCGCTTCCAACAAAAGAAATTTAGCCTGAGTGGGAGAGGCTAAGAGTGAAATTCAGCAGGGCTAGCGTCCCTCCTGGGCTGTGGGGCTCCGCCTATCCACACCTCTTCCAACCACCAGTGCTCTTGCATTTCTGGCCTTGTGGCTGCTCCTCTCCAGCCTCTGCCCCGGCCCTCTTTAAGGACACTCTTGATGGCGGCAGGGCCACCGAGGTGACCAAGGCTCATCTCCCGCCTGGCCCCTAACTTCAGCAAGTCTACGAAGACGTTTTGGTGGTGCATTCGCTAGGCAGGCTCTCTCCCCTGAGCAGCACCTTGGCCCCGAGACACTCTCCATGGTGCAGCGCACTCGCGGGCCCCTGGGGTTTGGTGGGCCCTGTCTTTTGGGACTCAAGTGGCCGCCCAGGATCATGAGGTCGGTCCTGACCAAGCAAGGCCTGGCATTCTTGCCCGGAGAGCTCTTGTCCTCCCTGAAGAGCTGCTGGCAGGTGGCAGAGCCTACGGCCTAGGGTCCTGGAGACTGCTGGCTGCTGCACCCTGGTGCCACCCTGGCCCCATCCCTCTGACATGTGGTCTCTCATGCAGGCCACAGCTATGACGAGAAGGTGGATGTGTTTTCCTTTGGCATCGTCCTGTGCGAGGTAGGTCGGGGTGGGCAGCAGAGATACTGCTCCCATCCTCTGGTCCCAGACTGAGGGCCGTGGGACCCCCAGATTAACTGTCGGGCCTCATGCTGGACAGATCATTGGGCGGGTGAATGCGGACCCTGACTACCTGCCCCGCACCATGGACTTTGGCCTTAACGTGCGTGGCTTCCTGGACCGCTACTGTCCCCCCAACTGCCCCCCGAGCTTCTTTCCCATCACTGTGGACTGCTGTGACCTGGACCCCGAGAAGAGGTGAGGGGGCGGGGGCTCAGCCATGGTGGCTCCGGGGGCGGGGGCTGTCCAGGGAGAGCCAGCCCCAGCAGCCACCCGCCTGTCCCCAGGCCGTCCTTCGTGAAGCTGGAGCAGTGGCTGGAGACCCTGCGCATGCACCTGGCCGGCCACATGCCTCTAGGCCCACAGCTGGAACAGCTGGACAGGGTCTTCTGGGAGACCTACCGGCGGGGTGAGAGTGGACTCCCGGCCCACCCCGAGGTCCCTGACTGAGCCGGGTCCAGCGCTGCTGGGCCCCAGCCCAAGGGTGCGCCCTTGGCAGCCTCCCCTGCAGGCTGTGGCCAGGCCCTGACTCGCCTTCTCCCCAACCACGCCCTCACCCTCTGCCTGGGCCCAGAGCTGCACTCGTTCTGTCCCATCGCCCTGCCCTACCTCTGTCTCCTGCATGAGCTGCAGGGCCCGGTGAGCTGTGCCCGTCCCACAGACTGCCCTACCACCCTTTGCCCTGCACCTATCTACACCTGCTCCATGTGCGGGCTGGAAGCCACCTCTGGAAAGGCCCTGAGGGTGCTGGGTGGGCATGCGCACGTGCAGAAGGGGCAGCCTTCCCCAGAGTCCCAGCCTGCCAGGGTGTCCAGGTAGCGGCAGGGCAGGATTGATGCAACCCAACCTCAAAGCAGATTGAGGCCTGGCCCTGCATGCCAGCTGGCAGTGCAGCAGGCTTGTGTCTTGCTCTGGGTCTCTCTTGTTTCTTTATCAAAGCCACTTTAGTGAGAAGCAGGTACCAGGCCTCAGGTGAAGAGGGTCCCTTCAGGCACAGGGGAGCCTGGCTGATGGAGGAGCTGGCCCAGGCAGGGCAGACGAGGCTGGTGTCCACCAGCAGCCTGGCTCTGCATTCATCTCAGTGCCCCAGGCCCTCCCGTCCTCGCAACCCTCTGTCCTCTGGGTTCTTTCTGTGTAATCTATTTTTTAAGAAGAGTTTGTATTATTTTTTCATACGGCCGCAGCAGCTGCTGCTGGGGGCTTGGGGTTTTATTTTTGTGGCAGGAGGGGGTGGGAGGGCCATCTTATCACTTTGCCTCAGTTGAGCATCTAGGAAGTATTAAAACTGTGAAGCTTTCTCAGTGCACTTTGAACCTGGAAAACAAGCCGAATGGGCCCAGGGGACCACACTGGAGGGAGGCAATTAGTGGTCACCTCCACCGGAACCTGGGTGGCTATAGAACAGATCAAGACTGAACAATAAAATTCTGTGCTCCCCACGCAGGGCTTGCATTGCATTTTGTCTCCAGGGCCCCAAGGAAAGGGTCTAGATGACAGGAGCTAGAAACATGGTGAGAGGTCAAGAATGGAAGTAGATCAGACAGGGTGGTTCACCCTGTGATGCCAGCAATCCAGGAGGCTGAGGCAGGGGGACCCCATGTTCAGTGCCAGCTGGACAACAATTTAGACCCGATCTCAAAATGTAAAAAGGAGACAGGCATGGTGATGCATGCCTATAATCCCAGCATTCAGGAGGCTGAGGCAGGAGGATTTTAGCCAGACTGTATCTCAAAAAATAAAAGGGATATAGCTCAGTGGAAAGGTTCTGAGTTCAATCCCCAGTACCAAGAAAAAAAAAAAAAGACTTTTTAAAAGCTGGACAGAGGGGTGGGTGCATACTCAGGAAGGTATTTCTCTCATAATTATTCTTTCTGAAATTAAAGATGTCCATCAAAAAGACAGCAACAAAGCCAGTTGTAGTGGCACACACCTATAATCCTAGCACTCTGGAAGGCTGAGTCAGGAGGATCACAGGTTCCAGCCCAGTCTGGGAAATTTAGCAACTGAATGAAATCCTGTCTCAAAATAAAAATATGGATGGGATGTAGCTCAATGTGAAGACCCTAGGTTCAATCTTCAGCACCCCCCCCCAAAATAAAACACCAAGCACACTAGGTATTTCAAATATAAAGCATTTAAAATGGAATTGGCACTGGGCATGACAGCGTGTCCCTGTAATCCCAGCACTTAGGCAGCTGAGGCAAGAGGATTGTGGCAAGTTTGAGTCCAGCCTGGGCTACATAGGGAGTTCAAGGCCAGCCTGAACTATACAACCAGATCCTGTCTCAAAAAAATAAGAGGAGGGCCAGGGATTTAGCTCAGTGGTTCCGGCGCCTGCCTTGAAAGCATAAAGTCCCGAGTTCTATCCCTGGTACCAAAAAAAAATAAGAGTGATCAGCTGGGTGTGGTGGTACACACCTGTCATCCCAGCTCTGGGGAGGCTGAGCCAGGAGGATCGCTGCAAGTTGGAGGTCAGTGTAGGCTACATAGTTTAAGGCCAGTCTGAACTACATAGCTACACCTTGTCTGAAAACAACAAAACCAGTAAAATTATCTCTGTATATTTAAGCCTGAGGACAGAACATGGACAGAGAGGGAAGAAAGCCAGGAGAGGCCCTCTGTAGACCTGTCACTAAACAGATGGTACCTGATTCAGAGCCCTGGCTCCTTGGGCTGGGTCCTCCGCTGATTCCTTCCTCAAGCACTTGCAGGTCCCAGGAAGCTGGGCTGAGCCATGATCTCCACTGCAACCCCCCCTGAGGCCTAGCAGAGACAGACTAGACACAGGCAGCCCAAGCAGGCTGACCCCAACCTGGATTGGGCTGTGACCTGGGCCTGCAGGGTCCCAGGGTAGCGCTGAGCAACTCTTGCCCCAAGGCCAGTGGAAGCCACCAACTTCAGGTGGCTACTGAAATTCAAGTGAAAATGAATAAAAATGAAATAAAACAACATCAGTTTCATGGCCACACTAGCACCACTTTAAGCACCTAATAATCACTCTGAATACTGCCACAGGTATTTCTGATTATGAAATAAACTGAATGTTCTCTTATCTCGAAATTCTTAGAATGAGGGAAAAAACAGCAGGGTATGGTGGTCCACGCCTGTGATCCTAGCACTCAGGAGGCTGAGGAAGGAGCATCACTAAGTTTGAGGCCAGCAAAGGCCAGGCTGAACTGCAATAGAAGATACTGTCTCAAAAGACAACAGAGAGGGGCTGGGGATTTAGCTCAGTGGCTCCATCCCTGCCTCGAAAGCACAAGGTCCTGAGTTCCATCCCTGGTACCAGAAAAAAACAACAAAGAAAGCTGGGTTGAGGGGTGGACACATACTCAAGAAGGCATTTCTCTCATACTTAATGTTTTCTTCTTTCTGAAATTAAAGATGCTTATCAAGAAGACAGAAACAAAGCCAGGTGTGGTGGTCCACACCTGTAATCCCTGCACTCTGGGAGCCTGAGGAGGGAAGATCACAAGTTCAAGCCCAGCCTGGGCAATTTATCAAGACCTTGTTTCAAGAAAACAAAAACTTGGCCATAGTGGTGTACTCTATAATCCCAGCAGTCAGGAAGCTGAGGCAGGAGGATCGCCACAGGTTTGAAGCCAGCCTGAGCTATGTAGTGAGTTCAAGGTCAGCCTGAACTACTTAGCAAGACTCTGTTTAAACAAAAACAAAAACAAAAAAGATTACTGTTGCTCAGTTTATCAAGAATTTGGGATGGGAAGGGACAGGGATCTAGCTCAGTGGTACTGCAGACTGTCTCGCAACCACGAGGTCCCAAGTTCGATCCACGGTACAAAAACAATTTGGCAGCATGAGTGGGATGTAGCTCAGTGATTAGCGCTTGCCTAGCATGTGTGAGCCCCAGGCTTCCATCCCTTACCAGGAAAAAGGGGGTGGGGGGCGGAGAGAGGTAGAGACTTGGACTTCCCAGGTTCCACTCCCATAGGCAAGGGCAGCAGTCTTTGCAGAGGCGTCTGGGCGGGCAGGTCCTGGGCCACGGCCCAGTGTGTGGCTCTTCCATGTGGCTGGCAACTAATGCCTGCTCCTGGCTGGAGGCCAGTTTATCTCCGGGGTCCCTTGGGGTCCACGGCAGCCTCCAGAGCCAGCATCCCACAGGGGTATTTTTGCCTCCTGAGAACCCTCCAAAGTCACACCCTTCCTCCACGTTGGGCGTGGTCACAGCCACCCCGGATTCCGATTCCCTAGCCTGGACTATCAGGCCCGGGAAGGACGGTCGGGAGTTGACTGGGATCCTAGAGGGAGGAGCCTTGGGGGCCAGAGCTGAGCGCTGGGATGTCAGAGGCGGTGGTGCCAACGCGGCAGGTGCTGGTACGCTGCGGCTTGGCCCTGGAGAGCAGGAGACAGCCCTTTGCTTTCCTTTGCCATCCGGTGGCCCAGGCAGCCAGAAAGGAGTTTGAGAGGGGGCAAGGAATCCTGGGAAATGTGGTTTTCAGCCCCACTGAACAGGAAGTGCCGCGGCGCGGGGCTGAGCGTCCCGCACGGTCCATCCTCTGCTCCTCCAGCCACAGACACTTCTAGACCGGATTCGTGCTCCAACCCTTCAGCCGCAGGGGGCTGGGAGCCGCTGGGCTCCACGAAGAGGACAAAGGGTACGGAGCAGTTCGAGGCCAGCCGGAACTACATAGGGAGACCCTGTCTCAAAAAAATAGAAAGTGGGGAGGGACTGGGGATGTATCGCTGAGCAAATGCACTGAATTCAATCCCCAGTACAAAGGAGAAGGAAAACTCCACAGATCCTCAGGGTTCCAAACAGTCCTGCTCACCCCTATTGTTCAGGAGCAACCGAATTTCTCCTTGGAAATAAGGGTTAATTACCCCAGCCACAAAACTACCCCCCTTATTCTCCTGTTGTTAAGGGTAATGAAGATTCCCAAATGGCAAGGTGGTGGTCTCCCGTTTCCCACTTAGCAGAGCTGACGGCTCCCCTGGCAGAAGCATGTATGCCCTGGTGTTAGGTGGGTTTGGAGTTCGGTAGTCTCCTAGGGGAGGTTAATAGGTTCTTTCTGTCTTGAACAAAGAATTGATCAAGACAACTGCACAAAGTAGAGAGGTTTTGTTGTTGTTGTTGTTGTTGTTGTTGTTGTTGTTCTTACTGGGTTTGGGGTTAGTTGCTCACCTCTTATTCTGGAGTTGGACTCCAGGTTTTTCTCATCGCAAACAAAGAACTGAACAAAACGAGCTGGGGATTTAGCTCAGTGGTTTCGCCCTGATGTGCAAGTGCAAGGACCAGAGTTCGATCCCTGGTACCAAAAAAAAAAGGGAAAGGGCTGGGGATTTAGCTCAGTGGTTTCGCCACCTGCTTCACAAGCACAAGGGCCTGAGTTCGATCTCGGGTACCAAAAAAAAAAAGTGAGGAAGAAACTGACTTCCTCCCTTTGCCTAAGCAAAGGGAGCTTAGGCCAAGTAAAAGAGGAAAAAGCAAGATAAAAGAATACCCCGGATGTTGGAAAAACTGGATTTCAACCTGCCAAAGATTAAAACTAAACCCATATCTATCACCATGCGCTAAACTAAAATCGAAGTGGATTAAAGATCTAAATATTAAAACAAACACTAAACTTGCTGGAAGATAAGTTAGGTAGAACTCTTGAAGACATTGGGATAAGAAAAGACTTTATGAACAAAACCTCAGTAGCATGGGAACTAGCACAAAGAATCAACAACTGGAATCTCATCTTATTAAAAAGCTTCTGGACTGTAAGAGAAACCACCAACAGAGCTAAGAGACAACCTACAATGTGGGAAAAAAAATTTTAACAGCTATACCTCAAAGGACTACTATCTAGAATATATAAAAAACTTTAAAAATTCAGACCCCCCCCAAATTTAAAGACCCAATTCAAAAATGGGCATCTGAAATGAACAGACATTTCTCAAAGAAGTAAAAGCACCAAATATATGAAAAAACATTCAACATCCCTGGCCATTCAAGAGATGCAGATGAAAACAATGCTGAGATTCCACCTCACCCCAGAAAGAATGGCTGCTATCAAGAAATCAACCAAGGATGGGGATTTAGCTCAATGGTTTCACCACTTGCTGCACAGCACAAGGACCTAAGTTCAATCCCTGGTCCAAAAAACCCCCAAAAAAACCAGAAATCAACCAATAACAAATGCTGGTGGGGTTGTGGAGAGAAAGGAACCCTTCTCCATTGTTTTGTGTTTTTTTGTACAAGGGATCAAACTCGGGACCTTGCGCTTGTGAGGCAGGCAGCAGAACTACTGAACTAAATGCCTGGCCCCCCTTCTCCATTGTTGATGGGAGTGTAGACAGGTGCGACCACTGTGGAAATCAATATGGAGATAACTCAGAAAACTAGTATTAGAGGTCCCATTGACTCAGCTATTCCTTTGCTTGCTATCATCCCAAAAGAATTAGAAGAATCATACCACAGTGATATATGAGCACCTAT